ATTCCCAGGTGCGGGCATAGGTTTCTTCTGATGACGTTTAATTAATTAATAGCAGCTGTCCCTCTTTCACAATCGAATGTTTTCCTTTTGTCATCTTGATGTCAAACTTCCCCTCTGTTTGTTTAGAGAGAACGTCATCTAGAGTGATTTTTTTTATAACAATAATGTTAAGAAATTAAATTACAAAGTCGTAATTTTGTATAAAATTTGCTTATTCCTCTGCTCAGGCCCATAGATAGACCCACATGATCACACTACAAAGTAGAAACCAAAGATGTTCAACCAGATGTAAAGGTCAACAAATATGGCCATTTTAAGTTTAAAAAAATCAGTTAACAGTGATCAGTTAACAAACAAATTGGATAATGAACACTTTCACGAAAGATTTTTATGTTCAGACAATGAATACATGTTCGGATAATGAACACCTCACAGAACAAACACAAGAAGAAACAACGTAAAATAATGAATACTGATTGGTCTTCCTTTGTCTTCAGGCAACAATTTCAAAACTTTTCGGAGCACAAGAGATGTCGACATTGACACTCAACATGGTATATACTGATTGGATAGTATTCCTCCAAACTTTGAAACTCTTCCGTGTAATTCCAGCCTTTTATTTTTCTAACAGAAATAATTATTTTTATGATATTCACGAGACTGTCGAGTGAGCACTCGTTAAGTCTTGCATCAGTTTTTATTTTTGAAAGGTGAGAGTATAATAGCAAAGATAATAGGCAGAAGATGTTTGATGTTGTTGGGTAGTATGGTTAAACAGGTCTACAGTGTGCCACAGTTCAATCTTATCTAAGAAAGACTGTATAATGAAGTACTTAAGGAGTAAGAAAAATCACATCTGAGAAATAAAGAACATTGAAGAGCTCATAATGGAACCTGAAACTGATTTGATGACAGAAGAATGCCAAGAACACTTGAATGAAAAACACCAGGAAACTCAGCAAGATATGTTTTCTTCTGAAAAAGAGGATTAATGCCGATATCTGCTATTAAATATCTTTTGAAGAAGTGGGAGGATGTCAGAACAATAGTCTTAGTATGGCATCCAAACCAGGTTGAAGTTAATAGGCTTAGGGATCTCTACAATTACAATGCTATTAATTACTTCTGAAAAATCCTGAAGAAGAGAGAAAAGCAATTGACATTAGACAGATTCTTTAACCCCCACAAATGGAAAAAACATGACTAATAAAAATGCAAGATTGTGTATATATGTATTTTTATTATTACATATAAATAAACATAGTAAGAAAGTATATATTTATTATTTTTTGGTGTTTCCAGAACGAATTAATCAAATTCCCATAAAAATCTATGGTAAATCGATAATTGGTTAATGAACAATTTGGATAGCAAACAAAATCTTGAAATGGATATGTTTGTTAACCGATCTTCCACTGTATTGTGATTAGTTGCATTTGAAGAAAATAAATTTGATCTGATGTTATACAACATTTTACTAAAATTATACAGCAAAATATACAAATGCACTGTGTGACAGCTACCAATGAATTTTGACCACAGAGCACTTATTCAAATTCTGAAGCTACTTACATGTCTTCCATAGGAAAAAATATGCAGTTATCTGTAAGCAGTTAATAGAAAAATGTCATTTGCAAAGTAGAGACAGCCATGATACACAATAAGGCTGTAAGTCTGGAGCTGTATCAACTGGAGGTAGATAGATTTGAACAATAGTTTTTGGGAGCAGATAATCTCCCAAAAAACACAATTTTTGAGGACAACATTTCACCATCTGATAAAAAATATATAAAAATACAGATGGTATTCATCAAGGAAAAAGCACTAGTTAGGAAGAGAATTGTTTCTTCTCAGGATCTTCATGTCTTGCAATGTCACATTTCTGAAAATCAGCACTTGGAGTTGTGAAAATAAGTAGGTAGATGAAGATATTGGGTTGAACCAAAAGTTCGTTCAGTTTTTAGCAAAAAATAAAAACCTTTAATCCACAATGTATTCATTCTTTTGTTCGATAACCTTATGCCATCTGACAGATAGTTTCATAATTCCATTTTTGCAGAATTGAGTGGGTTTCTGATTGAAGAAATTATCAAATGTGATTTTTGATACCTTCTAAAGATTTAAATTCTATGCCATTTAAATTATTCTGCAATGAACGAAAAAGATAATAGTCTGAGGGAGCAATATCTGGAAAATATGCAGGGTGACTCAAAACATCCCAGATAAAGTCTAGAAGTTTTTGGCGTACTTATAACAATATGTGTGCCAGAAACCTTATCATGATGGAATATCATTCCCCATTGATTTGCAAGTTCTATGCACTGCAGCCTTTAGTTCATCCAGTTGGAGACAATCTTGATTGGAATTAATTGCTTGGTTGTTGGGTAAAAGCTTGTAATAAAGAACCCCTTTCCAATCCCACCAAACTAAAATCATTACTTTTCTGGGATGCAAACCAGCTTTAGGTTGTGGCACTGGCCGATTGTCTGGTTTACACAAAGATTTCTTGCATTGAATATTGTTATAAACAATCTATATTTCATCACCTGTTATTAATTGCTTTAAAAATGGATCATCTTCATTGCATTTTAAAAGTGAATCACAAACAGAAACATGCTCAATAAGGTTTCATTCACTTAACTGATGGGAAACCCAAACATCATAACTGGGAAGTGTATCCAAGGCTAGCCAAATGTCTCACAACAAATGTTTTGGATGTTTTTAAGATGTCGGCTGTCTCTGGTGTTGTTCTATGCTGATCCTTTTGAATTAAAGTCATTATAAACTCATCGTCTATGGTTGAAGGCCGTCCTGATCGAAGTGCATCTTTGAGAGAAAAATCTCCTGCCCTAAATTTTGAAAACCATTTCTTGCATGTTCGATCAGTAACTGTATCCTTTCCATATACACCACATATCTTCTTTTATGTTTTTGTTGCACTTTTTTCTTTTCAGAAATAACAGAGCATGAGATGTCAAAAATGCACCTTCTTATCTTCCATTTTAATTTTTTTTTCCTTAAAAGATAACAGAATTTTAAAAAAATAGCTGTGACAAAACTTACATATTAAATTTTACAAATATTTGTAATGTCCACCTAAACAAGTTAAAACTTGATAAGCATGACAGAGAGGACAGACGAGCGATTGTGTAAATACCCAAACAAACTTTCAGTTCAACCCAATACATTTACAAGTACACATTTCACGGTCATTTGTAAGTTGTTGCAATTTAAAGATTAAAAGATTGCAATTTAAGTTCTACAGCAAGGAAGAAACATTTCTGAATGAGGTAAGTAAATAACAAAGAGTCCTGTGGCAACAGTTTATATGAAGTGATGTAATGAACAAGAGAAAAAGATCTTATGGTTTGATGAATCCATACGTTTATTATGGCAATATTAGAAGGAAAGTTATCTAAACTAAAGAAAAACAACACAGCATGCTATTATTCAGGATCCATGTAGAAAGTACCTTCAAATAATGGTGGGTTACATGGTTGCTAATGGTGTTGGCAAATTAGATATTTGTTGTGGAAAAATAAAAACCAAAGACTATCTCAAGTGTTTCATGTTAAAAGCTGTTCAGAAAAACACAATCAGTACTTCAACAGCTCCATGTCAGACTTCATATAGCAAAAATAACTACAGAACAGCTCACATCAAAATGTTCAGATGTTCTTCCTTGACCACCAGTAGTTTAGATTTATCACTGATAAAAAATCTATGGAGAATTTTGAAAAGAAATACACAGCAACAATGACCATATACTGTTGATCATCTCGAGGCTATAATTACAGAGGAATGAGTGAAAATATCCACAGAAACAACAGAAATACTTGTATCATCACTTCTACAAAGATTTTTCATGTGTAATTAAAAATAAAGATGACTTTCATGTGTAATCACTTAATGACTGAACATTAAAGATACTTTTACAGAAGAACTACTTGCAATCTTTTGTATAACTTCTGTGGTTAAACAGTAAAATAAATGCTATTATGAAAAACATAGTTTTGCTATTCATTCTTATTTGCCTGTTCCAAAGATCTTCAAATTTAAACATACTTCATAGTTTCTTACTTAAATGTAAAAAATCTTCCTATCTGGTCAAAATGCTGTAGTTTAGACTTTGTAAATCCAAGCTAGTTATGATGCCTTTTTGGTTAGTACTACTCTTCTATGGCAACTTTAGTTCTATGTCTGAAGATCAAGATCAACTCTCTCTCTCAAAACTCAAAGATATTATCTTGGACACAATTATTTAATTTCAGTTCCTAGTGGAATGTTGCAGTTCCTCTTTTTTGTAATTATTGTGAATTATAAGTTTATTATTAATCATAGTATCTTCTGTAGAATTTTCAACATTTATATGTTAATTTTATCATTTTTCTAGCTCATTAATTGTAAATAAAGTAATATAATTCTGAATTCATACATAAAATTTACACCTCAATCATATCCTTCCTATGGTTTGGTCTCATATACTGGATAAAACTGACCAGAAGGAGCCTGGTGATGTTTCACTCCTCTGGATGTTCCTCAATACAATCTTATTCTTGCAACTTAACTAAAGAATAAGTTAAATAAAATTAAAAAAGGTATAAACAGCTATCCTTACAATACAATTTTCAGTAAGAAGAAATTTCTGTTCTTTTTCTCAATAAAAAATTATTTGCTATATGTCTATTCTTCCTCAGATATATATATTTTAATTAAATTCATTTTTAATTTAAATTTATCTTTATTTTCTACTCATAAGTAATGTCATTAATTAAGAATTACGTGATGATTCACAGTTTCATCTAAACCAATGCTTTTATTTCATTCCATTTTGTTCCAATGGTACAAGGGTCTTATAGGCTAAATTGTGCCAAATAACCAATGAAGTCTTAGAACAAAGGTATTTAATGACTATCATTGGCATAAATGGCCACTTATGACAATCTAAATTACTGGACAATTCTTATAAAATTAAATACAAATTGCAAAAATAATATAACCTGTTGTCCACTGCTTTTTTCAAGACGATCCATCATCTCTTCAAACTGTAGTGGTGTTATGTCCATTTTCCTTGCTTGCTGATTTACCCACTTTTCATCATCTGTATCCATATCATAATCAGGAATTCCCTGATCCATAGAAAAGGCTATAAAACAAAATCATAATGTATTCTATTTTTCTGTAAATAATTTCTATAAATACAATATTAAACTTAAATAATTTTTTAATGGCTTCAGTCTAATATTATCATCATCATTTTTATAAAGTGATTCTAAAATAACATACAATTAATTATCATCTAATATATATAGGTGTGTATATATACCAGAGGTGGGCAAGCAAGAGGTCAGTGGGAGCCAAAATGTAGTTTTTGCAAAATGCAGTTCTGCACTTTTTTATTCTGTACTGCAGTTCTGTACCACAATTTTATTATATAATATAAATATTATATAAAACAATTATTGAATTTTTTTAATAAACATATTTTCACAAAATTGTGGAAATAAAATTGTAAAAGTAATAATAA